AATAGTCGTACGGGCTCTCGTACGGGAAGCTTCCCTCGATTGTAAGATGAATAGAGGTGCAATACTGAACCAATGACTCCAACGAGGAATACCATGTAGAGTTAACGTGCATCGTCACGCATGATCGACTGTGGCTCAAAAGGGCGCGTATGAAACGTTGTCTGTATGTTTTTGTAAATGCGTTACAAGTTAAGGAAATTGGCAGAATAGAGTAGGGCTCATTTGACTTTTTTTTTTTAAGCCATTTTGATCGCAACATACCTGCGATTGCTTTATCGAGTTGAGCAGTTCGCCAATATATAAACGTTATTGAGGATTTCGAAGGACTACGTTCTGTAAAATACGGTTGAATCAGTGGAAGTTCAGCTGTTTCCTGAGCACATTTCCTAGATACCGATCTCATAATTTAGCGGTAATCACGCCAAGATGAAAAACTTCTGCACAAAGGATCAATGGTTATCGCTGGTAACTAAAATCATAACGACTGATCTTATTTATTAATTAACAGCCATCAACACTTCACATAGCCTCGGACTCAGATGATATAATATACAGGGTCGATCCGTATCGTACAAGATCTTTTTATGTTCATGATATTCAATGTTCGAATAATAAAGGGAATAAAAATTGTCACGTAAGAGTGTCTATATTTTATACAGTTGGGAACGCGATAATAGTAGCGCATTGTCCATACATTAAGTTGAAGAGTGCCTTTAACAAAACAATAGCTATAATATTTATATATAAATCATTAATAAATTTACCACATGGTCATTTTTTAAGTTCTATATTTTTCGTCGATAGTCTAGTACATCACTCCATCATAAAATCCAAAATAAAGAAATCATAAAATAAATATCTACTAACATGCAACTTGTACACTCATAACGGCAATGTTGTCTGCTTACATACATTACAAGCTGGAAATGGCGCCATAATTTGAATCACGTTCCGGAACATCGCTTCCCGTTAATTAGTGAGTCCTGAATTTAGATATCAAAACGTACCCGTTTCCACTTGAGGGTCTTATCCGTTATTAGCAAACACCATACTCTTTTCTCATAGGTCTCTACAACGCACCGACGCCTCTGAATCCCACCGTTCTATATTGATTTCGCGTGAATACATAGATAATTTATACGCTTTTTCTACAATGCACATACCCGTTTCTTGTATTCGTTTAGCAATGAACAAAGTTAATCGAATGTGTGTGAACGTTCAAGGCGTTCTGACCAACGGGCATCGATTTCCTTTGTTCAAATCGTATTCGTATGCACGTGGACGAGCATTAGTTCGCTCGTATCAGTGACCTTTTTCTGCCTGCCTCAGTTGAATTGTTTTTAATCATGAATTGAAGCACATCAAACAACTTGTTATCAATGGCACAGAATAAAGGGGTCGGTCCTATTGCAGTCGGTATCGTACCTAGTCATTTAGTCCGCCGCCTTTCAGCCGAGCAGCCCGCCTGGCAGTCGGGTCAGTTAGACGCTTGGTTGCATGGCAAGACAATAGAAAAAAGAAAGGAGATGAAAACAGGAGATGGCCATTCTGTTCCTTCGTTGGTTCAGGCGCGTTCAGAGCCGTTTGCCGTCGGAACGGCCCTTCGTATCCAGCCTGTTACGCCGGAAGCAACAACCGCCCACTTGAAAGACAATCAAACAGTTTTCCCATATCGGTCAAGCCTGGGCGGAAATGTCCTGTGGTGCTATTTGCATAGGGCCAGCAGAAACGTGTGGAGCCGTCTGAAGAGACAGGCAGCGATCGACGGTGGATCAGCGGTGGGGTGCGACCAGGACGAGCGAGCTGGTTTCCGTTTCCCTTCGGTCGGATAAACAGAAGACGGTTTGGGTCGGGCAGTCTACTGGCTGGCTAGCCGTACTAGGTCGGGGTCATTGTTTATTGCATGGCGACTGCTGGTGTGTATCATATTGTTGTTGTTGTTGTTGTTGCTGCTGCTGCTGCTGTTATCAGTGTTGTAACGAGAGGGAAATTGTACGGAGTGAAAAGACAGTCCACTGAGGTTTGTCTGTGGATCGATGCAGATTGCCCCCGACTTCGAGTTGTATACGGCTGCCTGATAAAATGAATGCAGAGAATTATAGAGCGAAAATGAAGTATCGGTTGACTACTATCACCGTGTTCATTAGTCGCCGTCCTGATAATCACAGAAGGTTCCCGTATAAATGACACGAATGAAAATATTTGCTACCATAGTATGAAACCAAAAAGGCAGGTTTCCGTTCACTTTTATCCCACTCGAAAAGCACACATGTTGGCAAGGTTCACCATAGGACAACTAAATTCCTTCCCCGTTGGCCATACGAAGACGTGCACAGACACACACACAGTTGTTACGTCGCTCGGCTACGTCGACAACGACATTTGCGTGCGATATATATCAGGTAGTTACTGCCTAGCTCCATTCGTAGCGTACTGTTCAACCGGTATAAACAGGTCGACGCTTTTGTTTGGAGAAAAACTGTCGCATTCCCGTGGTCTTCAGTTAAACGAAGTTTTAATTTGCAGTTAAGAGCTTCTTCGTATCAAACAGACGGCCATCTTTTCTCTCTATGACTCCGTTAAGGTTAATCAACGTCAGCAACACTGACGACAAGTTCCTAGAGTAGAGACTAGATTCGTGCGCCATGGTATCGTACGCCGTATCAACACTATGTAGTTTCAGCAGTCGTTTAGGCGCCAACAATTACTGTAATAGGGTTTAATAAAGCAGTCGATTGAATTGAATGTTTATAGTGCATACACACTGGTCTCTGTCAGTGCACTATGGAATAGGTGAAAAGACACACCATACTTTAGCTAGCCGAACGTGTTTACGTTTTTAAGGTCTTTCATGGCTGCTATCGTCGTTATAGCCATTGCGGATCGGAATGATGATGAACACGAGAAGAAACGTTCCCTTTGATGCATAATCAGGTAAGTGGACGACCCCGGATCGTATAGCAGTTCTATGTTGGCTGTTCCGTAAGCGCAACTGCTGTACACGTGTAGCACTTCTGGAGCCGATGGAGTACGATTTGTTCTATTTTCGTGCTGTATTATCTAATTTAGAATAACGTACATAGCCTGAAAGTAATGCAGCATTTTAGCGTAAGCTTTGCTTAAGTTTTGAAGTACAGCTGAATTGTTTACGATCTTACACATGCAGCTGACGTCTTTACACGCGAACGGGGTCTGCATCATTACTTCGAACTTCTTCATGTCTTGTTCATGTATGCTTTCGATCAACTTGTTGTATTATCGAACCTAGGCTCTGAACGTCGAACAGACTCGAACGTTTCCGATCGTGCTGTATGAGTTTATTTCAAATGGATTTACTTTTCAATGCAGTTGTCTCGACGTTTCGGCACATACCTCTACGTTCTAGGTAATCCTAAAGCGTTCAAAAGTTAACTAAAAGAAGTTAACTTGACAAAAGCTCTTCACATCGAACCCAGCAGTTGTCCCTTTTTCATTTCTGTTCTGTTTTCCCTCACGTGTAGTTGTCACAGTCAAGAAAACAGCTTTCATCACCGACGCTCTTTTTGCATTCTATTGCTGGGTTCACACGCTGTGGCTAGCCAGTGAACAACGCAACCCTTTGCTTTAATAGGGCTATTCCATTCGTACTTTCCAATTTGACAGTCTCCTCTTACGCCCTTCTGCCATCCCAACGCAGCGGACAGAAGAGCAATGTAATGAACGCTATGGACTCTCCCAGAGCTCGCACCTTCACCTGCGAGCGCCATTTCTTTCTGTCCATCTTTTCTCCTCTGCATCGACCGTCAGACGCCGCTCGACGCCGTCGATGTTGGCGCATGGCCCAATTGGCTTTTTGCTTTTCCGCGTTGTCTTCGATGTCACGGTTTGTACTCTCTTTATTCCCTTCGATCTTTTTTTCGAATCTTCTTTTTTTCCTTAGCTCTGGGTCTATGGGTGGTGGCCGCGGCTTACAGTAACAGCGTTCTGTGTATTTAACGATAGATCAGGCTGCAGTTCGTATTTATGCCCGTCGTATTGCTGCCATTCGTTTCGAATCTTTCTTCCTCTCTTACACGTGGGCTTTCTTCTCTTTCGCAGGACGAAATAAAATCTGACTTCGTAATGGATAAAAATGTGTATGCTGTTGTTGATGGAGCTGCATGGAACGACAGATCTCGGCCGGCAAAGCGCACGTCGGGCGGACTAGGCTTTGCGTTGAACGTACAAGACGCAACATAGCGCGTCGGCGTTACTTGTGAAAAGCAGCTCGTACCATTCATTGTATTCTTTCGGGGACGCGGCGATGCGGGGCAAGACATAGTCCGCCGCCATAGATATAAACACGAGTTCTGACATATCTAGCTGCCGCCACTGGCTACCGGCCATGGCGACTGATGCGGTTCGCTGTATTTAGCTGGGGGCTGGGGGAAATCGGGCGAAGGTGCGGGGACGAGGGAAGGACTCGCGATGCATCGCATGAATGAGAGCAACGTGCGGCGTGGAAGTAATCAGCTTATTGGCGTTGGCACAGCACAGTTACTAACTACGACTGCTGAAGCCTACTGGGGACAGCCGCCATTGACTGCTACCACCGCCATGATGAAAAACGTGCATGAAGCAGTCGCAACAAACGGAAACGCGAACGCAAACGTAAACGGCGAGAGAAGTATAAAAGAGACGAAGTGTGTAGGTTGTAAAGTCTAGAACTGTAAAGTTTAAAGTGAAACTGAACGGCGCCATATAGACATGTTAAACTTGCACTTTCTGAACACACTGTTGGCGCACATGTATTGCATATGCACATTTACTGTGGGTTGTGGACGTTTGACGCCATCTATCTTCCTCGAGTGTTCATGTGCGGAATACGCGCGTTTGTCTGTATACCTGTGTTTCTGTGTGTCTGTACGTAAGTTTGCTCTGTATGCTGAAACCGTCTCAAAGCCATCGCCCTCATCATCACCCATCCCCACTGTATTATCAGCACAGTCACCATTAACCTCACCATTGCATAATCCACCTACCTGTAAAAGGGGCACGATTTCAGTTGGAGCCGGTGCGATGGCCAGCGCTGATATTCCGTTGGGCTGCGAGCTGCGCAACGCGGCTGTCAGAGCTGCCGCCTGCGAAAGATGCGGCGTTGAGGCAGCCCCTGGCAGGCCGAGGTGTAGTCCGAGCGGATTCATGACGGCGGCGGCTCCGTTGACGAACATCTCGCCGCTCGAAGATAGTATCATCTACTTCACACGCTCACTCGATGTAAAAACACGATTTGAGCTCGCTGATGGCTGCTGCCACTTCAGCAACGAGGCTTTTCGGTATTGTAGCTCTCGCTGTTGGTCCTTGTGCCGCTGCTGCTATTACTCGAATTTCGTGATGATGATGGTGATGGTGATGATGATGATGATGATATAACAGCACAGAAGCGAGGCAACTTCGAGCCAACAGGACGTTCCTCAGACGAAGATCCCAGTAAAAGAATTCGGGTAGCTGTTAACAAAGCGAACTGGTTGGATCTTCACTATGCCGATATTGATCGATCTGTTTCACTGTATACGAACAGCTGGTCGACTGGGCGTTAGCGTACGTAAGACTGTCCGTTTGAATAAAAAGAGGCAATTTTTATAGTTGTTGTAGGAAAGCACTAGGTTGACTTTTTCTTCGCAATGCAGTCGACGATCGTATACGTCAGATGCTGAAAACAGCCCACAACGCCGTGGCGCGCTCCCTGTAATCTGTGGTTTTTGAATCTACCGGCAGCTACAGGTTGTCCAGCTGACGGCAGTTGCGTTTGTTCAACGAAACGAAGTCGATAATAATTTTATGTGTAACACCTACTTGTAATTGTGGTTAGCATGAGATAAACGCACGATAAACGTGCAGCAACAATCGAATGGCGAAAGCAGTAGCAACAGCAGCAGCGGTGGACAGACTACTCGATTTCAATCTACGCGTTGAACCGGGTTAGCGGGTACAGGCTGAACCTTGTAGAAGAGTTTTTGGTGACGGCGTTGTTTTTCAATACGGATTGATGAAAAGTAGCGATCAGCAGTCGTCGAATGGCGGCATTCGAAGCACTCGATAAGGGAAAAGCTTGGTAATGATTGGTGCTGACGTTTGATGACTTCCTGTTTCGTGTGTGGCCGAAACGAAGACAATATTAGATACGGCACACACAGATGGATAGGCAGGTAAATTTGATGATGGGATGAATAACACTGCGTCGTAGTCGCACAGCAAGAACAAGTTACTCTGGATGCACCTGCACAACGTATTTGATAGAGTGGCACACGAATAACAATTGATAAAGCGAGCTCTGATCTTTCGGAGGGCACGAGATCACCAGCACGAGAGATAACTGTAAGCAAGTCGGTCGATCGCTGATGGCGAATTATAGAAGGGGGTAGAGCTGTTACTGTGCGATAGCGGTTGGGCGCTGGGGCGAGAGCTGATTATCATTGGCAGACAAACGGCGCCGGGAGCCACTTGACGTCAACGATTTCTAACCGCAATCCGCCGCTCAGCACCTGCTGCATTGACGGAATCGAAGGCTTGAGCGAATTAGTTTGAACAAGCTTGTTGCTATATGTAGATAGAAATAGCGGTACCTTTACTCGATGTTCGAGATACTGCAGGGAGACTGCACGCTTGCGGGCTATGGATGTAGACACGAATAGGGCAAGGCCAAGCGCGGATATGAAATATGGCGTATAATCAGACGCTCAACAACGGAATAGTTGTACGGCGCGTACTTGGTGAAAATATGAAAGAAACACACTCACAGACTTGATTCTTTGCGTGACCGAGTGGAGGTAGATTCGAGACACACGATGACGATGACGGTGAAGCAATAACGTGCGTCCTGGCCAAAGAGCTCATAAACGGTAATAACCAGCTGACAATTCACTGAAAAACGCTCCACTTCGAGTTGTTGTCACTTGGCCTAGTGATGGGGTACTGCTCAGGTATATTTCGGTCTGTCGCTTATCATAAGCCTGCAAGATGAGCATTCGTGCGCTTCACTGGATTTCCACTGTTTCAGCCGATCGGGAGAAGGGGGCGTTCTAGATGTATCACTTTTGTTACTGCTGTTGATTTCTCTAATATACGCTTGACAGAAACATGACGCACCAAGAACCGTACAACGAAAACCGATAATCGAGCATTTACGCGTTGAAGCGTCACACCAACGAACAACCGTATACGAATCGTTTCGTTCCGAGCAAAGAATTTTTTCGCGACTTGGCAAGAGATAACGACGCCGTGCATATGGGCAATGGTTCGCGTAAGGTCGATGACAACGCGATAGGCATGCACGAGATTGGTGGTGACTTACTGGCTGACTGGCTGGCTGGCTGGCTGTTGGCTGCGGTTGGAAACACAATTGTTGATTGCACGAGGGACGCTAATGAACGCTGGGTTAACGAACGTTTTGCAGAAGGTACTATAGAAGACGCTGAAGTTGAAAAAAGTATGTGGGTGCTGTGGTAGACTAGAGTGGAATCGAACGATTAGTGATTGTAGAATTACGAATAATTTGTAGTATTTGTTATGTTACTATTAATAATGTAACGAGAAAGAATATTTGGACTCGGAAGAGGTCAGTTGGCAGTTGGCCTCGGGAGCTCGGGAGCAGGCTCGTTGCTGAACCGGCCTGGCTTCCTCGTGGTCTGAACAGATGATACTAGCGCACGCTGGCTACCGAAAGCGCTGCCAGAGGGCGCCACTGTGGGGGGCGGAGGAAGGGAACGTTGTACTACGGAGCATCGTCAGAGTGGAGCGGTGGCGGGTCGGTGAGGAACTGAGCGGAGCACAGGGCTTTGGTACCTCTTATCGGGACCATTCTGTGCGGAGTAGCGGACTCCGGACAGGTCCTGTCCCAAGTCGAATTCCGAGGCTCTAGCAGCTCCCGACCGACCCGTCTCAGATCGACAATGCGAGAGAAAGCGCTGCCAGAAGAACGCACACCTCAGGACCAGCGACAGCTCCACCAGCAGGCTCACTGACACAAGCCAGCAAGCACTAGGTGCAAGCAACCTTTTTAGAACTACCTAGGTAGTTTGCCGTCCTGACGAATGGACAGTAACGTGCGCCCATCTGAATTGAAAGAGTCTGAGAGACAAACAGGCACGCTGACACAGCGAGACAAGCTGAAACCGGCAAATGTACACAGTCGGTCGCTTGGGGGTGTCGGCTGTGGGCAGTGTTGCACCGAGCTCCATTGACCTATCATTCCACACCCAGACTCCCATCTTCATGGCCCTGTGTATTCTTTAAGCAAATCCATCCAACGATGACTTCAGTGTTCAGCACCGGTCGGGCCTATCTACTGGACTCGCAAAACTTTTTACAGAGCGGTTTCTACGACAAAATAGCAAGGAAGATAGTTAACGAAAAAGCTGGACAAAGCAGGAAGAACGAATAATACTTAGTTGTACCTGCATTACCTCTTTTTTACCCCTGCAGCTATAATAACAGCTACTGTCTCGACCGACCCTACATGCCATTGGTCCAGTGGCTATTGTGGGAGAATGAAATAGAAGCAGACCACTTCACAGTGCCGTATAGAATAGCGGTAGCGAAGCCTTGTTACGAACGCAAACACAGACCAATGCAAATTTGTGAGCTGCGACGCTAACGGCAGTACAGCTTCCGCCGCTGTCCTAATGCCAAACTCCAGCAAATTTCTACATATTTATGGGCGGCCTAGGCCAAAACATTTCTAGCCATAAGCCATACAGGGCACGTCTATAACTATGCGTACGTCCACAAAATAAACTGAACTCTACTCGACAGCCATTAAAAGACTGCGCTCGCCCTTCCGTACATCGTTATTGAGTTGTGCAAGCGAGAGATCGTAACGTATTGAAATAAAAACGACACGAACAATAATAACGTCGTTCCGATAACGGCAGAGATTTGTTTTTCATAGGCTGCTTCGACGTCTGTTATTTGTATATACCATTGTGGGGATACTATATTGAGTACGCCCATTTCCATCTACAGCAATCATCCTGTAATATTAGTAGCTAGAAGACGAAGATCATTGATTGTTACTTCAACCATTACTACTGCTGCAACTATAATGAGCATTGGATGAATGAGAACGATGTCGGCCTCACTCGCATGAGATTCGCCATTGGCTACTGACCGTCGGCTGAACACACCATGGAGTTAATTCATCCGCATAGGATGGAGGACATAGAACCGATGGGGTGAGAGAAGCAACCGGGTCGAGGAATCACGAAAGTTCTAGCTGCGACTACTGCGGCCGACGCTGCTCTGAAGGGAATAGCTAGCGTTTTTTCGACGAACGGCTTTGCCGCTTGCCATCTATCCGTATCCGTGACATCAGTCCAATACAGCGAACCTGAGTAACACACAGCCAAACACTGGTCAAATCCGGGTCTCGCTATCAAGAGGGGACCAGGTAACGGCGCTAAAAAAAAACTATGATGCGCGTCGAATGTCCTTTAAGGGGCCTGAGCCTATGGGTCAGCACGAAAAAGCGGGAAAGGGAGGCTTAAGAGGTTAGATCGTTGATGGCGAATTACAGGCACTTCTCCAGCGACAGTACGAGGGGCTCGTGGCGAACGATGCTTAGGCGAGGCCTTATGGGATGAAGACGATCTAGGTAGAAAAACGTAAGAAGGCTGTGATGTATAGAAGGGTTAGAGGTTCTACGGAAAGGGGGCGAAAGGGTTCGGAAATACCCACTTCGGGGCGAGAATGTAGACAAGGGCAAAGAAAGTGAGAGAAAGAGACTACTAGAAAGACAGAGATAGTACTAAGACTGCTGCTGAACTGACTGGTTGGGTGACTGCGGTACCAGACCTAGAGTGGGAAACGACGCCGGAGCCGCTAAGCTCATGAGGTAATGCAAGAAAGAAAAAGAGGGAGAGGGGGAAGGTGTAAAAAGAAATAGGCCAAAAGAAGAAAAAGCCCTCTTCGTCTCGTTTTCTCCTGCTGTCCTGTTCCACACAATACGACAATGACGATGAACACCGGAAGGTTGGCAGGAAGAAGCAACGGTAAAGGCTGCAGAGGGCACAGCACAAAGCGCTTCTGTAATTCTTCCATTTTCCCCATTTCTGTCCCCCCTATCTACTATAGCACTCTTTCTTCGTTAGTTCTTTTTTCCTTGATCGCCGCCCTTGCCACCGGTCGCTTTTCGTTCGTACTGGCTCTGATCTGCCCGAATGGCGAAGTCACCAGCTTGCCAGCACCACCATCACTGGCGTCACTGCGAGCGTCAGGACTACCACGAGTAAGTAGTCCCACAGTGCCGTTGTGCCCGCTGCGGATGTTGGCACAACAAAGTGCCAAAGGGCGACTGAAGTGGTAGCGACGGTAGTGCCGAAACAGTAGGAGCAATTTTTTTCCATCTTTTCCTCCTCTTTTGTCGCTGCTGCTGCCCAAAAAATGGGGATACATATTAAAAGAAATAAAGATGGGCACAGGGAAAAGAGCAAAGAATAGAAGCGAAAGATTGCGTAAGGTGCGGGGTTACCTCAGACCATCAGCGCATAGTAGTTGCAGCTGAGCAGTAGGATAATGGGAACAGAAGAATAGAAGTAAGTCCTGAGCCTGTTTGCCCTTAATTTTTGAAGATGAGAAAAAATAAGGACATAAACGACGGGTGATAATATGGAACGGCCGGCGCGTGGCAGCAGGTCTCAAAGCGACGAGACCGAGTTGTCATTCCAAGATATTTTTTCTTCTAAGAGCTAACATTTTTTAGCCTTTACACGTCCAATGGAATAAGCGAAAATAACTGTGACGCTGCGGGGATGAATATCGAACATACTACGGACAAGTAGTACAACGATGTTTACTCTAGGTAGAGGTAACTGTGCAGTTAGGTGGAGGTAAGAACTCAAATGGTATGGAAGCATTACTAAATTTTAATTTAAGACAAATTTCTGATGGTAGTGAATCTTGCGTCCCTACTAGCTCCGCCATGAAGGCGAGCCGAGGTGATTTGCAGCAAGCTATAACAGTGGCGGGTACCATGTCGCGCGCGTTTCAGAAGCAATCGATGTGGTACTCTCGGGCTCGCAACATAAACCGTAACAAAGATTGCGCAATATATCGACCACGAATCCTCGTTAGTCCAACAGATATAACTAGCGCATTTAGCAACATTTGAGCGCGAGATAAAATACGCGAGAGTACGCGTCAAGGTAAACGTGCACATGGCCCCGAGTGTGCCAGATAACACTTGGCGAAGATAGAAAAATAAGGCGTCGAACGTCAAGTTCAAAGTTCGACTGCCATTGAGCTGTTGCAATACGCCAACTAGGGGGGTTTGCCTCGAAACCAAACGCCGACACGCTTCGTTTCGCGGAAAAACGGGCCAACCGTCTGCGGTAATACTTAAGAAAGTTAGCAAATTCGGACGTGAAGGTCGAGACACGCCTGCGTTGCACAGTATGTCACAGCTAGCGTAGGAAAGTAGAGTATATAGTACTTTAGTATGGCTATAAGGTACAGTGAACGTACCGGGTGCACATTTTCAAGGTTTGAACAAGAGCTTTGGTGTCTCTGACACAAAGTATTAGATATACGTATATATCGTATATAGACAGAGTAGTTTCCACATCTAATAGGAAGAAACCCTACGTCGTAACACGATATAAACCTTAAATGCATGAATTTTGTAAATAACTGGGCACCGTAAAGGTCATGGTACTAAGGGTACTAGATTTCGAAATTAACAGCTTTTTTTCGTGATTCGACGCGCAAAATAGTTTCGTGACCAGTTCACACAGTTAATTCCCTATGGAAGGGCTATAGAATTTTTCGGAATATCGTGACCTGATCGTATACAATCAAGCTCGGAGAATTTCAAGTATCCGGTATGGGATCAGCTATTTTGCTTTTATTCTCGACTGTTGCATTAAACTGAAAATTTCACTCAACGTATCTCGGTATGCATATACTATTCTACAGTTAAGGTAAACTGTGATGATTTCAACTGAAGTTTGCCGTGCCTCCACTTGAAGGCATCAGTACATTAGTTTCAAATAATGGCTTCTAATCTAGCACTTCACTACATTGCAATAGTCATCGATCTATGTTTGTTTACATATGAATAAATCAAAAATGGCAGATAAATATAGCCTTGTTGCCGATAGATATGGCCTTGTTGTCGCTTCGAACTTCCTCGTGTCCTATGTTAAAAATGTAACACATAGACGTAAGAAGCTAATCTTAACTGCAAAATAAACAAGCTATTAATTGAGTGAGAAAAGCATCATCCCGATAAAACATTTCGTACCTCACACAACCGTCTGCAGAGACGGCTAGTGATGTTCGGTCAATGAATAGTGATGAAGTAAAAGTTTATCGGCTATAGCCAGTTTATAAATATGTTTATTGAAAAAAACGTAAATAGGGTAGGCGCGTGCAGTCAACAGAACTCTTGTCAAAACTCTTGTTTGTTGCATTAACGAGACGGAATGAATTTTGTGACAGTGTCAAAAAGGCTCATTATTTTTAAAAAGTAAAGCCAAATACATATAATCGCCATAAGAACCTTGGAACTCAAGTCTCTCTCCACCGATAAGCTGTGCATGAAGAGCAAAGAAAAGTTTTAAAATCCTCAGGCACGAATCACCCTGTTA